ATTTTTGATTGGCCAACGCATATATGCGGCCGCCCTACTTTGAGAGTACTCCAGTATTAGAGTGGTCGTATATGGGTTTTCTTGAGACGATGAAACCCCATCTTGATTCAGCGAAAGGTTCGTTAGACAAGCGAAAATCCATATGGCGGAAGCGGTTTCTGACCTTTTTGACTGGTACTCTTGTCGATGAAGAGCAAAATATACATGACGACAATAGTAAAACGCGATTTGAAATTGCAACTTTTCTGATTCAACGGTTCGTCAACATTTTATTTAAACCTTATTTTTTGTTCATAAAAAGTGAGATGTGCACGACCTCTGGACGGTGTCGTCCTTCTAGGGGTATAGGGTGTCGTTCCCTGGCGCGACATTTCACGAGCTTCTCTGCTGTTGCACAGCTTAGGGCGGTGTCGGTCCTCCTGCGAGTAGGGGTGTCGTTCCCCAGTGTGACAGTTGTGGGGTGTCGTTCCCCTAGAAAGCTCATGAGTTATATATGAAATGTACTACCTTCTTGATTTACATTTACTAATTGTTTCAAGTTTTCCCAGAAACACCCACCTGAAGCTACGAGCTTTTGGGAAAATTTCGAGTTAGAAAGACAGCTGGCGATAAAGGAGGTGTGTATGGACTTGAATAGGGCTCCTTAAAGTGTTAATGATTTCGGTTGTGTTCTCACTTGCCAACCTTCTTTTAGGATATTTTCGACAAAAAATCGCAGATCGACGCATTAAATGTGCTTGATGCTTCTCGTAGTCAAAAAAGCAACGAACATATTAGTAAAGTTAATTCACGCGCAGAATCCGCAGATACATCATCTGGACAAAAGCGTAAAAAAAGAAATCTATCCCTCTCGAAAAAGGTTAGTAAAGTTTTTTTTTGGTATAAAAATGTTTCCTTGAACTTTATATAAGCGTTTCTTAATAATTACTTCTTATATCTACAGAATAAACAATCGGTCGACTCGGCTGTTTCAAAAAAGGTAAAAAAATATTTGTATGGAATGCAACCTTATCATTAGGAGTGAACTTCTTTAAAAATTTTTACTATTTGTTGTGTGAGCAGGCCAAAACCATCAGCGGGGATGTGGAGGATGATGATCCATTCATAAACAATAATAGAACCGAAGGATCTACACATTCGAAAGCTACACCATCATCATTAGGTTCACAATCCTTGGAGATGCCAATTGGAGCTACGGAAATGACTAGTGATATAAACGATGTTAA